CCTGTCCTAGAAGGGGAATAGGGCAGGAGGGTATAACAAGGAATGAATGGGAAAAGGGAAAGCCATCCAGACTGCAGCTAAGCAGGAGGGTTTGCCGTGGGTAAGATGGTGTCCCATCAACCCCCATGACTGAGATCTGGGAAGGAGTAAGAGGTCCTGAAAAAGATGGTAAAACACAGTAGGTAGCCCCCATGTCCATTAGGAAAGAGATGGACTTACCCACTACCTGCAGCGTTTCCCTGGGCTCAGTGAAGGTGATGGGGGTCTTCGAGTCTGGGCTGCTTCAATTGCCCAGGAGTCTGAGAAGTTCCAGCGCAGGCAGGGAAGAGTCCGCACCTTGATCAGCTGGTCCCCTGCGTGGAGGCGCTGGGGATGAGCCCCTAAGGGGACAGGCATCCCTCCAGTGGCCAAGCTGTCACCAATCTGGGCAAGGATTCATTGGTGGCCAAAGTTGAGGACACTAGCGGGCCCAGTGCCCTTCTTTGCCACACTTGAAACAGGCCCCCAGTGGGGTGTTCTTTGGCCTCAACTTAGACTCACCCAAGCTGGTGTTTACTGCTGGCAGCAGGGCCACTAGCATGGTCTGGGTTTGCAGGGCCACCTTTTGCTGTAGGCGAGCCTGGCAGGCAGCCTCAGCCTCTGCTTCCCGGTTATTGAAAACCTTAAATGCCATATTTACCAGATCTCAGATGGGGTTTGGGGGCCATCCTCGGCCTTTTTCAGTTTCTTTCTAATATCTGGGGCTGACTGGGAGATAAAGTGAGTAGCTAAGACAGTGGCCCCAGCATTAGAAGCCGGGTCAAGGCAGGTATGGAGCACCATTGCCTCGGTTAGTCTGTTGAAAAACAGTGCGCCGGATTTTCTCTGGGGCCTTGGGTGACCTCTCTGAGCTTATCATAATTGATTGCTTTCTGGGCAGATTGGTGCATACCTGCTATCAGGCACTCGACCATTTGGTTGCAGCATCTCCGACCTGCCTGTCCTACCTGGTAGCTCCAGCCTGGTTCAGCCTCTGGCATGGCTTCAGCCCCTACTGGCATGAGGGGATTGGTGGCATGGGTTTGGTCTGCATAAGCCCTAGCTGCAGTCCGGATGCGGTTGCGCTTGTCCGGGGTCATGGTGGAAGTTAAAATGATGTGCAGGTCATGCCATGTGAGGTCACAAGCCTGGACCAGGTACTGGAATTCCCTGATAAAATTGGTAGGGTTAGTGGAGGATGAGCCTAGGCGTTTTTCAATTGAACAGAGAGCAGTTAGTGAAAAGGGACATGGACCCAAATGACACCTTCTGCTTCCACCACTCCCAGAAGGGGGCAAATATGGGAGTTTAGGGGCTCTAGATTCAGGCAGGAGCGAGTCTGTGAGCTAACTGGGAAGAAAGGTCTTCAGAGGGAGGGGGAGAATCTGGTTGAGAGAGGAGGGCCAGGGCTGGAGTAGCTGTTGGCGGGAGCTGATAAGGAGGGGGGAGAGGGAGGGGAAGCAAGATCTTCCGGGGAATCAGAAAAGGAGGAGGGAGGCTCTGGGGCAGTAGGCTTAGGAGGCCGGACAGGTTCAGGTTTCCCTCGGGTAAGGAGAACTTGGTCTGTGGAGCATTGGGTGCACAGATCCGGGTGGGAGCGCAAGGCCCAAAAGCCCTGAATGTAGGGGACCTCAGACCATTTGCCAGTCCATCTGCAAAAATTATCTAGGTCAGTAAGGGTAACGAAGTCGAAAGTGCCTTCAGGAGGCCAGGTTTCACGATTATCGAGCTGATATAACGGCCAGGCTGCAGTGGATAGAAAAATCAGCCGTTTTTGCTTGAGACCAGGGTCAATTACTTTCAAATTCTTCAGAAGGCACCCTAGAGGTGACTTAGGATCTGGCTTGGACTCCTGCCCTCCCATTCCTGGTCCCATGAGGATCAGCAAATGGGAATCAGTGTCCCTCAACCCAATCTGCTGGTCCGGTCTGGTAAAAATGGGGGTCTGGGTCCAGGGATGTCTCCTCTGGTGCCCAGAACCTCTCAGCAGGGGAGGGCAGTGCCTCCCAGAAGGGTCACCCCAATGCAGTGCTCCAGTTTTGGTGGAGAGCAGTCTCTCTTAGCAGATGGGGGCCAGGAATTGGCATTTGGGGACCAGACATTTAAGGGCAGCAGCACGTACCCTGGTTCTTAGTCTGGACTGGTGGGGTGGCCGCGAGGCCTCCTTGGGGACTGGGGAGAGGAATGGTCTTCAGCAGACAACAACTCCTCCTGGGTTTTGGCACCAAATAAAAGGTTTTCTTAGGCTCCGCTGAGGAAGAAATGCCAATCAGCCACAAAGTCAGGCAATAAAGAGCTTTATTGGGGTTTGCACACCCAGGCGAGGTTCCCCAGTCCAAAGAGTGGGGCTGGGGAAGTTGCCCCCAAGTAGGAAATATGGTGGGGTTTTATTTTGGTTGGCTCTCTTCATGGGAGATGGGGATTGGTCCCCATTGAACAAAGCGGCAATATATCATTGGTGGCTCAGGTTGCTATGTGGATATTCGTTTTGGCAAAGCCTGCCCTTTCGGCTCCCTGGTTTGACCTCAGCAGTCTTTTCCGGGTTGTAGTTCAGCCGCCATTTTGTCCTACCCCCCCCCCCCCCCCATCCTAACAGTAAGGATCAAACAATAGATAAAGAACTATGAGGGCTTATTCCAAGTCAGGGTCAGTTAGCTAAAGGACAATAAAACTTTGGGAAACAAACTCATTTTATGCTTGGACTCATATCATTTAAATTGAGGATATTATCAAAGCAGATTTCACAGGATTTTATGTATTCTTTCTTAGGCCTGAAAGCCCCAGGGAACCCACCTGTTCCTGCCCAGGGCTGCACCACCCTCTGGCATTGTCTCAGGCTTAAGTCGGGCAGGGGAAGTAAGGCAGCCAAGAGATTAGGAGACATCTTGCATACAGAATGAGGACTCAGGCCATGTCAAAGCTGAGGGGCCAGGATCCATCACCCCCTTTTTCTATAGCCCCCAAGTCCTTCCTTGAGGGCCCCTTTGAAACTGTTCCTGTCTTAGGTTGTCCCTCCCTTGAGGAATCTTACCCATCATTGGCTAACCAGTCATCTGCCTGGGGCCAGACAGGGTGAAGTAAAGGGGGCAGAGGAGGGATCCCATCTGGGAAGATGAGCTTTGTATCCTTAGTGGCTTATGGTCCCAAGGTCGTTCATTCAGCCTTACCCATGGGGTTTACAGCTTCTGAAATCAGGTAGGGCGGTTCCCAACATGGTAGAGCTCTGGGTGTGGGCCCCAAAGTTCTGCACTACTAGCCTGGGGTGGGGGCATTAGCCACCTAGAGCTCTTGTTCTCCCTCTGTAAATATCACAGTGACACATTTCCAAGCATCACTTGATAAAACTACAGGCTCTATGGAGCTGTAGGAAAAAGAGGGCAGTGTCCACCCTCATGGCCTCTGTGTGACCAGCTCAGGGCTCTGGCCTACAGTCCATCAGACTCACTCCCAGCTGCAGCCCCGTGAGTGGGAATGGGTAAGTTTGAGATGGGTTTTTTTTTTTTTTTAATGCCAAATAGAATGTAAAATGGTGCAGCTACTGTGGAAAAGTCTGGCAGTTCCTCAGAATGTTAAACCGAGAGTGTACTCATGACTCAGAAGTTCTACTCCGAGGTATATATACCTAAGGCAGTTGAAAATATGCATTCACACAAACACTTGCACAAATGTCCACAGCAGCATTATTTATAATATAAAAAGGTAGAAACAACCCAGATGTCCATCAACAAATGAATGGATAAACACAATGTGGTATAACCATACAGTGACATCTTATCCAATCATAAAAGGGAGTGAAGTCCTGACCCACACTACATGGATGAGCCTCAGAAACATGCTAAGTAAAAGAAGCCAGACACACAGGTCACCTGTAGTCTGATTCCATTCACATGAAATGTCCAGAACAGGCAGTGCCAGGACCCAGGGAGGGGGTCGGTAGTGGCTGCTAGTGGGTCCCAGAGGTGGAGAGCAGATGTCCTCAAAGGAGGCAACAGTGATGGTTGTGCAACCTTGTGAATGTACTGCAAGCCACTGAGGTGGGCACTTCTAAATGCTGAATTGATGACATATGAATTATATCTCAGTTTTTATAAGCAGGTAATCAGTCCTCCTTCCTAGGAGCAGGAGGGTTAAGGGAGCTGCTGCAGGAAGTGCCTGCACACAGCGGGAGCTTATAGGCGGCCCCAGTAAGTGAATATATCATATACGCATCATATTAACTTGGGCTCATCTGCCCTTCTACTCTGGGGCCTAAGAGGCACCCCAATGCCAGGGCCCAGGAAAAGTTTGGATTTGTGAGAAATTTCAAGGGGAAGGCTTTGGTCCTGGGCTTAGTGTTCCTCTGGCACCCAAACCAGAGGCTCAAGGCCCTAACAAGTAGGGCTACCAGTGCCCCGTTTCCCAGGGCTCTCCTGCTTCATACCTGCCATCCAGATTCAATGGCAATTGTGCCTGTCTCACTCCCAAGGAGTGTGCTACCCACTTCTCCTTGGAGGACAGCACAGGTCAGAACAAAGATGTCCTCCCCAGACCACTGTCTGTTCATCTGTCTAATCACTCATCTGTCTGCCCCTGGCACTGCCCTATTCTTTTTTTTTTTTTTTTAATTTTAATTAATTTTATTTAGTTATTTTTCAAGTACAGTTTTTTGTGGCACTGCCCTATTCTATGCTCACAGCACATGGAGACAGCCAACAGGGCCAGCTGGAGAGGGGTCCCAGTCTGAGCTCCTGGAAGACGTTGCTATCAGCCTGGGGTAGAGGATGTTGATGTCCTCCAGGGCCAGAGCACATGCCAGCCAGGCCTCAGGGTGAGGCCGGGAGCCACCTCCAGCAGCCAGACAGATCCCTAGCAGGAGGTGGCAGGGGCCCGAACGAGGGCAAAGGAGGACTATGGGGCAGGGGCGGCCATCTAATGGGGGAGCACTTCAGAAAAGGGTCAGGGCAGTAACACTCTTGAACTCCGGCCTCACCACTGTCTTGCAGCCACTGACCAGCTGATGCTGAGTACCGACCAGCTGGCCCTGATCTACAGCAGCCTGGGACTCTGCCTCGGTGCCATCATCTGCTGCTTCCTCTTGGCCATGGCCTGCTTCCTCAAGAGGAGTGGGGACCAGTCCTCCTGCCAGTGCCCCACAGGACTGTGTTGGTCCTGGGCCAAGTCCTCCAAGGGTGAGCATGAAAGGGGCTCTTCCCCTCCCACTGCTTGTGGGACGAGTTGCCAGCCTTCGCTCTGTGATGATGCCTCCCTGCTTCCAAATGGAGGGCATTTGGCCAGCTCTTCCTGGCAGAGGTCTGAGACCTTGCTGTCTTCTTCCTTTGTTGGTGAGTCAGGTTCGAACAAAAAAAAGGCAAGGAGACAGGGCACCTGAGGAAGAGCAGGTGTAGGGTGAGGGTCACGGGGTTGGCAGGGGCCTGGAGGGTTCCTAGGAGGCCGGGCAACACGGGAGGAGGAGGTCTTCCTGGGGGTGTGGGGGCAGAGTGTGAAAGCCTGCTCCCACCCAGGCCCCCAGGCAGGAGGGACAGCACTGGACAGCTGGCCATGGGGAAGTGAGGGCTGGGAGTTTGAGGGGGTGCCATCTGCGGGAAGCATTTTATTCTCCCAACAACCCAGCCAGCTGTCCCTGGGGTACAGGCCTGAGGAGGGGGGTTGGGGCCCAGGCCAAGGTTCTCTTCCCTTCCTACACAGATCACAGGATGGAAGCTGGGAGCACAGCATGCAGGCCACAGGAACCTGTGGAGACCTGTGGCTTCTGCTTCCCCAAGTGCGGGGTGCCCACCCAAGAGAGTGCGGATCAGCTGGGTGCCCCCAGCCCCACAAACACTGGGAGGTGTGGTTGCCCCAGCCCTGCAGTGGCCCAAAGGGCCTGCATGGAGTCCTTGTCCCCAGAGGGCATTCCGGAGGCTGTGTGCTGGCCTGCCCAGGATGGGGGCCCAGCTGTGTGAAAGGAGGTGGGGGATGGGGCACGAAGGAAGGGAAAGAAAGAGAGGGAGGGAGGGAGACAGAGAGAGAGAAGGAGAGGAGAGGAGAGGGGTCAGTGAGGGAAAGATGGAGGAAGAGAGAGGAAGGGGACAGGAGCAGAGAGATGGGGGAGAGCAATGGAAACGGGGACGGAAGAGCAAGGGGAGCCAGGGTGGGAGGGAGGCCTCACTGTCTTCATCTCAGGTCTCTACTGCAGGTCACCATCATCTAAACACTTCTGCAATAAAGTCACCTGTGCTTGCTGGACTCAAGTCTCCAAGAGCCCTTTTGTAGGAGTAAAACCTTCCAGGGTGGTGGCTCCTTCCTGCTACTCATTTCGGTCTTGTCTTCAGCTGGGAAGATTCTTTGGCCCCACCTCCCAAGCTGCCTCCCTTGGCTCCCCCACAATGCAGCTGCAGCCTCCAATTTCCCAGGACCTACATGTTTCCTGTCCACCAGGCTCCAGAGAGGGCTTGCTGACTTGTGGGGCCGGAAGCAGTTGGCGCATACTGCAGAGGGGCAGCTGCAGAAGGGCCCCGCAGAGCATGTGTGCCTGCAGCTATGCCTGGATCTCCAGGGGAAGCATTTCTGTTGGTTTAACAAAGCCACTCCCCACTGTGCCTCCTCAGGAAGGGCAGGAAGGGCAGGAAGGACAGGAAGGGCAGGAAGGAAGGGCAGGAAGGGCAGGAAGGGCAGGAAGGGCAGTTGGTTCTTTCTCCAAAATATATTCTGATTCTCGCCCCTTTTTACAGCCACTGAAAGCTGAGCTCCTGTCACTTTTCACCCAATGACTGCACCAGCCCCCACTGGCCTCCCTGTTGCCATCTTGCCCGTAACAAAAATGACAAGATAGTAAATCCCTTGGACTTTGTGGACCACACAGTCCCTGCTGCAGGGCCCACACACTTGGTCCTATCAGCCACAGCTTTAGATGCTAAGGAAACAGGTGGGTGACTCCTGCTTGGGTAGAACTGCTCAGGAGGGTAGTGGGGTCTGGACCATGGGCCATAGCTGGTCAACCCTGCCCTGCTTCCTGGTTTTCTTGAGACATAAGTGACACCTAAAAGTATGCAAGTTTAAGCTGTTGGTTGGATACTTATTAATTGCAAATTGATGACTACCAGATCCTGTCACATAGTTACCATTTCCTTTTTTTGTGGTGAGAACATTTAATATCTATTTACTTAGCACTTTTCAAGTATATAGTGGAGTGCTATCAGCTATAATCACCATGCCATCATAGACTCCCAGAATTCGTTAATCTTATAACTCTAAGTGTGTACCCTTTGAGTGTCATCTCTCCAGCCCCCCAGCCCCTGGTAACCAACACTCTACTCTCTGTTCCTCTAAGCACTAATCGTTTTATTTATGCCTCTAATTTTTTAATGGTTGTTTACAATACACATCTTTACTCACAGTCAGCATTCAGATTACAGTGTTCCAGGTCAAGGGAGAGAGCCATGCAGGGTGGTATCCTCATGCCACCTCTCACGCACATGCTGGGTGTTCCACCTGCACACAGTCTGCAAAGTCACAACACAGAGTGCCTATGTCTGCTGCAGGAGTTCGGTGTATTTTAGCATAATGAAAAATAAGGAAACATTGCCTTTCGTATTTACTTTCATTTCTGGAAATTCTCGTTTTTGTGTGTGTAGATTCAAGTGTCTGGTATCATAGTCCTTCCACCTAAAGGACTTCTTTTAACATTTCTTACTGTGCAAACATGCAGGAAATGAATTCTCAGTTTGTATCAGTTTGGAGAAGTATTTCTCTCACTTTTGAAAAATATTTTTTCTGGGTATAGACTTTATGGTTGCCAGTATTTTCCTTTCAGTATTTCAAAGATATTTATTACTCCATTATCTCTGGCTTGCATAGATTCTGACAAGACATCTGCTGAAATCCCCAGCTTTGCTCCTTTGTAACTGTGCCTTCACAATGTTCATCTTCCCTTTTCTAGCAGTTTGCGCAGTTGTGTCTATAGGAGGTGCTTTTTTATTTATTTGTGTGTGTGTGTGTGTGTTTTTTTGTTTAGGTTTGTTTTGTTATATATCCTGCTTTGCAGTCTGAGATTTTGGGACCTGTAGCTTGATACTTTTTATTTTTAAAAAATCATTTGCCATTATCTCTTCAAACTGTTTGGTGTTTATTGTCCCATGGCTCTGGTATCCTATTATTTTGTTTTCTCCCCAAATTCTCTATTCTCTTTGTGTTTCAGTTTGGGTAAATTCTACCAATCTTCAAGTTCACCAATTCTTTCCTCATCTGTGTGAGTTCACTGATGGGCCCAGAAAAGCCATTCTGTATATGTTACTGTGGGGGCAACTTTGCCAGCAAGTCCCTCCATCCACCACGAATGAAAGTAACACTACCAAGACATGATCTGCTTGGGGAGGAGAGGTGGCCAATCTCTCAGAGGAAAAAGGTCAGGGGCCCCTTCCTCAATAGCTTATGTTGGGTTCTAATACACAGGAATATAGGTGGTAAGGATCAAACAGTAGATAACATTGCAAAGAAATCTGAGGGCTTAGTCTGAGTTAGTGTCTGTCAGATAAGGGGGTTGCAAAAACTTTGGGAGACATATCATTTCTTGCTCAGACCCTTATCATATGGATGAAAGCACTCTTAGCAAAGCAGGCTTCACAGGACTTTTAGGAATTCTTTCTTATGCCTGATCACCCCAGATCCCACTCTAGCTGGCAAGGGGCTGTACTGCCTCCCCCATCACAGGTTTTCAGGCTTAAGTGGATTAGAGCCAGGAAGTGGTTCTCCCAGAGGACAGGGGACTCGGGTTATGTCTGAATAGCTGGGGGAGGGGGGCAAGGGTCCATTACTCCCTCTTTGTTGCAGCCCCCCGAGTCCTTCCATGATGGCCTCCCAAGTGACCATGTCTGGCTTAGGTTTCCCCCCTCTGAGGGCCCATACTCATCATTGACTAACTGACTATGCATTGGGGGCAAGGGAGGAAGCAGAGACAAGCTTTGTCTCCTTAGTGGCTCGCATTCCAGAGGTTGCTCACTCAGTCTTAGCTATGGGGGGGCAGTTACAACTCCTGAAACCAGGAAGAGTGGTTCCCAACATGTTACCATGTGTTTTCCTTCTAGAATCTGCATTGACTCTGTCATGGTTCCATCTCTCTGCAGAAGCTCCCCATCTTTTCACGCTGTGTTCCACATTTTCTATGACATTTCACATATTAATCTGAATTATCTAAAAATTTCTGCCTAATACTTTCACCAGCTGGATCATCTCCAAGTCTGGTTCTGTTGATTGGTAGTGTGTCATTTTACTTGTTCTTTTGTGTGTCTTGAAATTTTGTATTGAATGCCAGACCTGAATAGAGAGACTGAAGTAGGAAGTGTCCATGCCTAAAAGTGGGCACACCTTTTCCCCTGCTAGGCTGAGAGTGTGAGGGAGGGAGTCAACCCAGCTTGGCGTGGGGTTTGTTGTTGCTATGGGCACCTCAGGGCTCAGACTCCCCTACTGTGTCCATGTTCTGGGGTGGGGGCTGGGTTCCCAGTATTTCCACTCCTTCCTCACAGCCCTGCACCTTCTCTGTGTGCCTCTGCCTCGAAAGCTTCTTTATCCATTTTTTTTGTTCTCCTTCGTGGTAGTTGGCCATCACTTGGTGCTTGCTGACCTGAGGCTGTGTGTCCTCTTGCTCCATCTCAGTCTCAGGCAGGCCCTGTGATCCTGGGTGGGAGGACTGGGCTTTTGCAGTGGCCCTCCAGGCCCAGGACATTTTCCCGTCCCTGACTACAGTGAAGGGGATCCTCCTTCTCCCTCTTCCCACCCTCAATGGGTTTTCACCTATATCTTGAGGCCAACAGGGTTTCTTTCCTCTTTTCAGTAGTTTGCAGCTTTTGTTTGCTAGTGGAAGAGTCTGTGTGGGGCTGCATTTACTTCTGGCACCACACCACATCCCTGCCTAAGCCTGTGCCCTGAGAGAAGCTCTGTGTGGTCTCCCACTGTATGCCTGAATTTGCTTTTTTATAAGGGTCCTATGGAAGTCTGCAAAGAAGAGCCTGCATGTGGTGTCATCTCCCCTTGTCTGAAGTTCTCAGCTCTACTCATACTACCTCTAGCCGTTCTTCAAAGCCTTAGCAGAATTCCTCTTCCCCACATGCCTGGCTGGTCTGCTTTCCTCCCTGCACACAGCTGCGGGTGGCCGGTGTCATGTCCTGTCTCCTTGGAGTCACCTGCCTTCCTGCAATGTTAGGCTTAATGTCTGCCCTGCAACTTCAGCGCATGGGTGGGTTCAAGATAAAACACAGCTCTGTAGATTATCCAGCTTTTTATTTCTAGGAAAGGAGTGGGCTCCTCTCTGGCTCTCTACTTCCTAGCTGGCAGCTGGAAGCCAGAGAGATCTTTTTAAAATATCCATCACACCATGTCTTTTCACTGCTTAAACCTTCCAATCAGTTCCTGACACAAAATAAAATCCAGCCTCTTACAAGGGCCTTTGGGCTTCACATGGTCTGGTCCCTGGCTTCCTCTCAACCTCAGCATGTATCATGCTCCAGCACCTGCCACCCTCCACTATACTCATCCTCACTCTCAGAGTTATTTCATTCCCTACTCCTGCCCCAGGGCCTTTGCTGTTTCTGCTCCTTCTACTAGGAATGCTTTTCCATTGTCACCTAGGTCGGAGGGGCTGCTCCTGCCATGAAGGCTTCAGCTTCAATGCCACCTTCTAAGATGCCCTTCCCAAAGTTTCCGATTCTCCCTGATTCCTTAAAACTCTCCCTGAATCAGATACAGTTTTAGAAGCTTCTCAAAATTACTGGGTTGGCCAAAAAGTTTGCATGGTTATTTCTGTAAAATAAAGACACATTTTTCATTTTCACCAATAACTTTATTGATTTGGATATTTTTAGTATGGCAGTTATCTCCCACAAGGTATAGCATAGATTGTTCTCAATTAATGTCTCGATTTGATTGCTATTAATCTCAACTGTTCTACCTGACTGTGGAGCATTGTCCAGAAAGAAACCTCCAGGATGAAACTTAGAAAACCACTTTTGACACGTTCAATCAGACACAGCGCCCTATCTCCACACTGCATAGTTTTTTGCATTTCATTGCATTTTACCTTTAGTGAAATCATAAGTATGACAGAAATCTTTTCTTCCATCTTATTTAAATGGCTGCACAAAAATTCACCATTTTTGATGTTTTTTTTAAAAAAGATTTGTTTATTTATATTTAGAGAGAGGGGAAGGGAAGGAGAAAGAAAAAGGAAGAGAAACATTAAGGTGTGGTTGCCTCTCAAGCACCCCCCTCTGAGGACCTGGCCCACAACCCAGGCATGTGCCCTGACTGGGAATTGAACTGGTGGCTCTTTGGCTCACAGGCCGATGCTCAATCCACTGAGCTACACCAGCCAGGGCAGTAAGCTTTTTTTTTAATGCACGCTGGTATGACAGCTGTCACAACACAATCTAACAAAATTGCTTTGAATAAAATTGAAGACAGCTAAGCCCTACTAGAGCCACTGTATGGAAAAAACTAAAGGAATTTTTGTCCAACCAATAATTTTTGGAACAAAGGAGACTGTAAAGGGTTAGATACCCTCCAGTTGGGCGTTTTTGGCTTTCAGATTTTCCTCAGGCCATTTGGGCTGGTGTTTCTTAACCTTAGCTGAGGATTAGAATCTCTGGGAAACAATGTGTAAACATTCCTGATGCCTTGATCAGACCAATTAAATCAGACTCTGGGGTGGGTGCAGGCAGCAGGACGCCTCCCAGGCGGTCCCAGGGTGGTAGCCAGGCCTGAGAACAATTGTTCCAGGCATAAAACTGGCCTAGCTGTCTGCCACTGGGTCTCTGCTTCCAACAGAAGGGAAGTGCCCGGGCCAGCTTAGCAAAATACCTGGTTTTTCCTTCTTATTTTATTTTGACACTTTCTCATTTTAAGGCTAATGAAAGGAAAAACCAAATGTATCCCAGGAGACCGACCCATGGGCTAGAAACTGCATTTTCCCTTGCTACTCAGAAGGCAGGTCCTAAGGAGCCCCAGGCTTTGACACATCTCAGGTTTCGGTTTCTAAAAACCATTTATGTAAATCTTACTACATGCCAAGCATTTTTCTGAGAACTTTACATATATGAACTCAGGTTTTCTGTATAGTAACCCTATCACACAGAGGGAGTACTATTAGTGTCCCCAGTTCCAAGATGAGGAGACTGGGTTTGACCAAGCAGCTCTGCCAAAGACAGCCAGCACCGGCTTCAGGCCCAGGCAGCCTGGCTCTGTGCTCTAGTCTGACCGCCAGTCTCCCGGCAGCGAAGGTTAAAATTACAGCAGAGGAGCGGCGCTTCCCTCTCCTCACCCAGTGAGGAGCCTCTATGAGGGTGGAGAATCACAGGGACACGCAGCATGGGAGGCTTGACAGATTTGTTTGCAGACCAGGAGGAACTTCCCCCCAGGTCCTCATGGAAAACAGACTGTGACCCAAGCTAAAGATCCAGTGGTCACACATGCATCCCCCAAAGCGTGGATGTTCTGTTGTTAGAGTCAACGACAAATCACCAGTGCTGGCTGGATCCCACGGCAGATGCGCTGAGCTCGCTTCAGTGCCCTCCTGTCTCTGTTTTCTTCAGGACGGATGCACTGTCCCGTATACCTGCAACGTTCCACCCCCAGAGCTCAGGCCCAGTTTCTGCGCTTGGGCAGGTCTCTGCCCAAAGGAGGCCTCACTGCAGAGCCTCCTCCTCCAGCCTGTGTAAGACACCTGCTGTGGCTGCTGCACAGTCTCCTCTGCACAGTGCTTACCGCAGCTCCTGTGTACCCTTCCTACAACACACCCTCCATGACAACAGGACTTCAGTCTTTTCTTATCCCCCAGTGTCCAGAACAGAGCCTACAGGATATGGGCCATCAAATACTTGCTGAATGAATGAATTTGGGTATTTGACCGGATCATTTCTATAAAGTCCTTTCTGGTTTTAACATTCTACAAAAATGCAGTTAATTTACAATACATTTCCTCTTGCTCTCCTAGCTACTTAAACCCATTTAGTGATTGGTGTCACCATTATCAGAAGCAGGGAGGAAAAGTCTTTACATCCATCCACATCAGGGTTGGAAAGGCTTTTCTAGACCATCAGTGTTAACCTCCCCACCTTCCTGCCTTACAAATCCCAGGGGCCCTCTGAGAGAAGATGCCAGCCCCAGGAGCACCCCCAGTAAGTGTGGAGCCTCAACTAGAACACTCATTTCTTGTCTCCTGGGAAAAGCTTTCCCCACCACACCCAGCTGGTTTCTGTGGGAGCAGGCTAACCCACTGACCAGGACACAATGAGGTGTTACATGGAGCTCTAAGAAGTCAAAGTCAGTATTCATGAATTTGTTGCATGAAGAATAGTCTCCAACTTAAATGAACTCCCACACTGGGGTAGTGTATGGGATTTCAGGTGGACAGATCTCTTCTGATGTAAAACGTGGAGTATGCCTCTTCATTTACCAAGACCTGTGTGCAGACAGGGAGCTGGGGACCCAGAGAAACTGAGGGAGGAAACAGTATCCTGTCCCATGAAATTGGTTTGGGCTGGTGCTTTGGGTTTTCTGTGGATTAAACTGGCCAGCCTGCCTGTTGTCTGATGGGATTTTGTGCCTGTGTCAGAGATACAACAGAATGTGGTGGCTGGACACTGTGGTGACCCCCAAGGCCCCCCAGGGTTGAAGTGTTCAGTACTGCTCCAGAGGAGGCCTGCTTGTTGGTGGCTCACAGCTGAGTCCTTCTCTAGGAACTACCCTCTAATCACCAGGGCCACCTCATTCATACCTCCACTTCTTCATGGGGACCATCTGCATCCATTAAGAGCCAATGTGGGGCCAAACCCTGAGGGGCCAGCCCAGCACCCCCAGAGCTACCTGCAGGGCTGGCTTAGGCCTTTGTTATGACTACACTGCACCCCAACTTCCACACCTAGTCTTGCTCCCCTCCCTCCCTCCCTGTCACATTCACCTGCCCATTGGAAGGTGAGATCCTGGATCCCTGATCCTTTTGTCCTTAACTGACTACACGGGATTGCCATGTTCCAATGGCTCTCCTGGGACAGTGCTCTCCCAGTCTGAGATTCTACCACTTTGTACCTTCTTCCAGCTGGTTCTATGTCTCAGCAGCACCCAGAACCAAATTCTATTTTTTCATGAGCCTTTAACTAAAGGAAGCAATTCCACAAGTCCTTAAGATGTAGCTCCTGTTCCCCTAATGTTTTTCATGTGGCCGAGCTCTGACTCTGCTCGCCATCCTGTGCTGGTGCTCCTGACGTCTCCAAGGCCAAACCGGCCAAACCGTCCCACTCTCCTCTTGTGCTCCTGCTGCCCTGGCCTTAAGCCACCACCAGGACCCCAGCTGCCCCAGGGCCTCTGCTCAGAACCACTGGTAAAATGTCACTTCTAAGTGCAGTTCACATTTCTCAGATTGTGTGACTACCACACAACACTTATTTCCCTTCCTGAGAGTGCCTTGACGGCACAGCCCGGGTCCTGTAGTTATGGGCATCACAAGCTAAGTGGGACAGTCACTTACTCAATGAGTATCATGGACCAAGCACTATGTTAAGTTCTGTGAAAAGAGTAAATCTAGCCTCTGCCCATTTTTAGTTATTCTTTTACTGACAGAGCCCAAGACTATTTCTGGCTGATGGGGACACTGCCATCTGAACTCTCTGAGCACGGCCAGTGTTAGGGCGGAGGGAAAGGGAGCACAGAAAAGCACACACTGGCCCTCAGAGATTCCGCCCAGAAATTAAACACACAGATTCTTATTTTAAAAAATTGAAGTATATTTCATGCATTTTGTGGTTATTTCCCCAGTGTGAGTGCACATTGGGCACACTTGACAACCAGCAGTGCCCCCACATTAACCGTGTGGTTATTGGATGAGGGCTACTACGGCTGGAAGAATAGTGGAAGTCTCTGAACTCCACCTCCTACCAAGTCTGATGGATATTAGAGAATAACTATGTCTGTCAAAGCAGCACAGTGCTTACTTCACAGGCCTTGCTGGGTTTTGGAGGCAGTATATACATTTCAGTGCGTTAATTTGATCCATCCACAGAGGCACCACATGGCTCCCAATTTCAGGTGGGACCACTCGAGTATTACGATCCAGAAGATCCATTCAAACTTAAGAATCCAGGGCAAACAAGAAGGCTTTATTGGAGACCTTAGCAAGGACCAATCAGAGAGAAAGAGCACAGCCCTCCAAGACTTCAGAGCAGAGCAAGTCAAATCTATATCCTCTTCTGCAGGTATTTCTTTTTAGTTTGTTTGCTTCTTGGACTTAATAGAACAAGTTGACCATGCAGCAGAGGATGCCATAACACACTGAATGTTGTCTGACATGCTCAGCCTTAAGGTTGGTTGAGTCCAACAGCCATAGGGGATATGGCATTTAAGAGACTGAGTTGGGCACATCTACAAGTTACTGCAAATTACACGAGCAGGTGGCTCACCTGATCAAGACACTTGTGCATGGCCTCCTCAAGTGTTCCTTGTGACCAGATGGTTGAGGCTAATCCTTCAGGACAGTAATGAAGGAAATCCTACAAATGGGAGGGATTTGGACCTGGACACCTGGTTGCCCGCCTTGTCTGGAATAAGTGAGGCCCCAAAGTACTGATTTACATGGATTTATGGGGAATTGCTAACAGCTTGGCTGGATGATTAAGGACTTGGAACAGGATTTAAACATGAGTGACAAGATCTAGATGGGGACAGATCTCTCCATGTGGGCAGACTGTGCAGTTATCTGTACCCATGTGCCCATGAGATTCTGCACAGATGACGCTCAATGATTGGGGGCAACCAGCATGCCCTGTAGGTGTGAGTTAGCTTCCTCCCCAGCCACTATGCTGGCCTGGCAGGCTCATGAACTACGTGGCCATCAAGACAGAGGTAGAGGCTAGAATAGGCTGAAGTGTCATAGATTTGCCTTGACCAAAGTTCACTAGGATAATTTCTGCAGAAAGCCTAACTGGCTTACAGAGAATAACATTGAATCCTTGGGATGACATTTCCTAGAAGGACCAGCTAGCTGCCTAGTAGCAGGTTGACTACACTGGGCCTCATCCATCACAGAGGCAGAGATTTGTCTTCCCTGCAATAAACCCACACACTAGATGCGAATCTGCCTGCCATGTATCTCAGTACCTCTGTCCACTATTGCAACATTCCATGCAGCATGGCTTCTGATCAGGAAACCCAATTCACAGCAAAGGACATGCAGCAATGGGCTTGTGTCTGTGGTGCTGTTTTTAGTCCATTACCTATCATGAGGATGCAGCTGAGCTCACTAAAGCCTCTGCTATGGTTATGGTCATGGGGTTCTCTTCTGGATGACTTATGCTTTTAACCAGAGACCGTTGTAGGGCATGGACTCCCCCACAGCTAAAACACCCTGGTCCAAGGATCAAGGGGTCAGAGAGTGATGGGCACTTTTCAGCATTGCAATGAAATTACCAAACTACAAATTTTTCTTATTCTTGTCCTGGAAAAATTGGGTTTTGCTGGTTTGAAGGTCTTGGACCCCAAACGAGGAGCTTCCCCTGGGGGATGACGACCCTGTTTCTATTTAATTTGAAAACACTGACACACAAGGGGGACAGGAGGACCAAGACTGGAACCCCAAGGGATTCCCTGGAACTTCTCGGTATTTCTGTGTAAGGAAAGTGAAGGGACTTACAACAAAAGATCCCCCCAAAAAGCATGTCAGAAATGAGGGTTTGGGTCAATCAGGTAAAGACCAATGGAGGTCTGAGGGCAAGGGAAAAGTGTGAGGTGAAGTGGAAGAAGGATGCTGCAGGTGCCAACTATATCCTTTGACCAATTACGGAATCAAGGACAGCAGAGACTGGGTACCTCTTCCCTTAGCTTATTTATTTGCATATGCTATGTTCTCATCACTTGAGGAGCTTTCTGTAAACGCATGTCCCTATACCACATCTCAGGTCTTGTAATCAAACTCTGGCAAGGACACCCCATTTAAAGAAGCCTCTCCCGTGACTTTTATGCACATCAAAGCCTGAAGTCCTGCGGTAGTCCTGAATCCAGGATATGTCACCACCCTGCCCACAGGAGAAAAAGAGGGGCAAAGAGGCAGCAGGCCCAACACAGAGAAAACAGGCTGCAGCTCTGGGCACTGTGCTCGGTGGGCTTCCTCCACTGGACAGGTCTGTCCGGGTGGTACCCACATCTTGAGGACTCTTGTCCCCTGGACCTCGGTTTTACTGCCGGTGCTAGGAAGGGGAGAGAGCCAGTCAGTTCTCAGAAGAAAATGTAGTTTATTATGACATAGGAAAGACTACAAGCCATTAAGAGAGGGGGAAGAGTCAAACAGTTTTTCAAACAGGTAAAAGAGAGGTGTAAACATCTTGGTAATTAAATCCACAGCACAATCACTGGAATTTTTTCCTTACAATTTCTGTTTTTAGTTATAACAATCACACTTCAGTTGTCAAAAACAAAAGCACAAACACAAAAATCTGGCAACTGGACACAATGAAAGCCAACCACAAATGCTTGGGTCTATGTGGTACAGGACAGAAGATCCGGGGACATTCTAGCACCTGACAGGTGAGAGGCTGTGCTGCCAGAGGAGATCTGGCCACCTCACCCACAGGTGGCACCGGCCCAGCACTCCATACTGCAAATATCTGAAGAGGAAAAGTCCACCTATTCACTGGGAAGTGCTGAAGTGATAGCCTATAGTTCAGAAACACAGGTCACTGTACACACGCTGGTGGGAGTGGAGGGTACCTCATGATTCCTTAGTGGACAGTTGCATTTGGTCCCGATAGGAGCACCTATCTTGGGGTGGTTGTTAGGAAACAAAAACACCACCTTCCTGAATTTAAGAGCTGGATTGAGGGCTTAAAATTTTTTTAAAAAGGGGTAAATTCCCAAAGTCATCATGTAATATTTTGTTCCTAACAAGATAAATTCAAACGCACACATCTCGCACAGCACCTCCTGCTGGGAGCGCAAGGGTGGGCAGGTGCAGCCAGACTGGCAGACACAGAGGTAAGTGCTTGGAACACCAATGCCGGAGGGAATAAAGACGACTGATCTGGATATGAAAGTTTAAAACAGTCTCCACAAAAGACAAACATGGCCCTCCTGTTGCTCTCTAGTCCTTGTGTTCTCAGCTAAGCCTCTGAACATTAATGAAGACAGGAAGAAGTCCAGGGGAGCGACCAATCTGGGTAGCAGGTTGGCCAGACCCCAGGTAATCTTCCAGAAACTCCACGGCCAATACATCTGCTTTGTTCCCACTTTGCACTTAGAACACTCCAGTCAAGTAGGAGGATACAAGGCAGCCAACTGCAGGGAGAAACTACGGCGCACAACTCTACAGGCTAACTTCAGTCAGTTCTCCTTTCCATCAAATTTGTTTATTATTAGAAGACAACACCTCTACCCCAAAGAAGTCTTCATAGCAGGCCCCCCTCACACACTCAAACACATGTGGACATTTCTAAAAGTCTGCACCCTCCAAACTTCTCTGAAAACACTTGCTATTTAAAAACATGCCTTAACCTGTGTCCCACAAATGCGGAAATATAATGGAACAAATGGAGTGAGCATTCAAAAACTTATCACTAGGAATTTTGCCATAATGATGATTCTGCAGTAGAACTGCTGCTTTGCATTTCCTAGCATTTTCCATTGGGAGTAACTACTTGACTCTGCTGGGACCAGCTTCCTCTTATCTAACTAGCTAACAGCTCGATCCAGCCCAATGCCTGCTTCCAGCCCACTTAGCCTGTTACCTAAGAATAGTTAACACCTTTTTAAACAGTGAAAAAAAAATTGACGATGTGAGAAAATGATACGAAATTCAAATTTCAATGTCCATAAAATAAAGTCTTATTGGAATATAGCTGGGCTCATTTGTTTATGTATTATCTATGGCAAGAGACCCAGAAAGTCTAATAGCTACCATTTGGGCTCTTCAAGAAAAAAGTTAGCTGACCCTTAAATAATGATGCTGTCCCCTAGGAATGCATATGCCACAGCTCAGACACAGACTGGGCTCTCAGGACAAGCACAGGGTGTTTCACAAACTCTACTGAAGCAACTTTTCCTCCCCTACATCTCTGGGTTAAAATGTCTCAGATATGAACAAAAACCTGGCTTGGAGTGTTGGATACATAGATGCACACCTCACAGGGATCAAGGCGGTTCCTCAGCCAGCTCTCTCCACAAGCCTGATCACAGACTCCCTTTTCCTGCTACAATTTAAACTACACTGAATGAAATGCAGAGGCACTCAGCCACTCTGGCCAGCAAGCAGTGACAGGACAGCTAGTGGGAAAGGCAGCCAAGAAGAAAACATGAGGGAGGGAAACAGTAAAACCATCAAAAAATGCTTCATTTGCTCAAGAGAGTAACACAACTGAACCAGTGACACCCAACTCACACCTGCCAGCTTTAACCAGGGCGTGGTGCTTCCAAAGGCAGGGGCGGGGTCAGAGTGGGGACAACAAAACAGCACCAAAAGCAAGATTCACCCAAGAATGAAAAAGCTATCTAAATTTCATTATTAACTCTATTCATCCACGTTACTAACAGTACATTTATCAAATTCACCACTGTGGAAAAGAAGAAAAATGAGGGGAATGAGAAAATGCTTACTTGTAGAAAAGTGAGGAACACCCAGGCTGACAGGCCACATGCAGCTGGACACTGTGTTATCTGCGGAACACACATGCTCAAAAATCCCAGTGTCTTCAATTACACAGGCTCTACTCACAAAACAAAGGCTAAGAATTCCATACTATACATATTTAATACGAAGACTCACAAAGATACTTGAAAAGTCCTCTGTCCTTGCACAGTTATTGTCTTCTCCACTGCTTTAATAAACTCATAATTAAAAAATGGACCAGCGCCTTTTGAAACTGTACCATCACATGGCAGAACTGAAGCACCAGGGTGAGGATGCTCCACACCATGGGGCACCCACCCCACACATCTACACGCCGTCTGAGGAGCAAAGGAGATACCCTTGTAATGTATCTACTCTGCCCCTTCCCATGCAGAACACACCTGCTGTTTTGCATCTCTGCTGAGCAATCCAGAGAGCCCTCCCACCATGGTGCGTGTCCACTCCACCCCAGGCCCAGGCTGGTGGCAGAGGGCTCTTATGTTCCTGGAGTACTTCCATGTGGGCGGTGGTAGCATGAAGTTGGGTGATTGGGAGTCATTTTGTGAGGCCTTCATTTTTCTGACCAGCTGAGGAAAAGGCTACTCATACTCCAGGACCTGTTTGTGGTAGAAGAGCAGGTATCTGTGGAGGCAAAACAGAGCAAGTTTATGGTCTAATTCATGAGAACTCAAGGCAAAACCGACCTCGCCGGCTGGAACCTTGGCTCCATGACTTCAGTACTTACCAGCAGTCTTGATTTCTTGCTGGGACGGTTTTTAGTTCTTAGTCCCCAAGGAAGGTCCTCGGCTAGGTAGTGGCAGTGCCTCCACCAAATGCCAGAGTCCCCTAAGTCCATCCCCTGCCCATTCACCAGGAAGCCCCAAGTCCTGTCAGTCTTGCTTGCCACACAGCTCCTGAACCAACCTCTCCTGTCCAGAACTACCAGAGCCTCAGGGTCAATGTCCCATCCTGTCCTATTCTGTCCAGGGGTGCCAGGGCCTCAGGTCAGTGTGACTTCTGGTAAGGCTCCTGCAACCGATTCAGTCCGACCCCCCGGGGCTCTGCCCCATTAACTGCCCACAGTCTGTCCTTCCTCTGAAGACTCTGCCCAGGGGACTCCCCCATACCTGGGAACCTAAAGATGCACCTCTCAGATCATGCAGCTCATCCCCGGGGCTAGGAGCCTACTGCCAGTCTTAACACTAAGGATTCAGCAAAGCTGAAGGTGGATAATGATGTGCCAGGAAGGAATAAAATGGGAAATGAGAGAGGAGCTGCTGAGGGACCCACATGTCAGCTCATGTCGCCACTGAAGGCAATGACCACCGCCCTGTGCTCTGGGTGAGGGTGTTAACCAAGTGCACTTGCTCAGACACACCGTCCTACCCAGTGGCCCCTCGGGGTCAGCATCCTATCCAGAATAAGCCTCATTACTTCAGCCACCAAAGATGACCCTTTCTGAATGATACTAAAAATACACATGGCTTTGGGCTCAGACACCCACATGGGACAACAAGCCACCCCCAACGTACCCCTCACTGTCCAGCACATCTTCAATGCTGGCCTTGGTGATGATGGCATCATCACACTTGAACCACTGGTCCTTGTGCTGCCGGATGAAGCTCGTGTAGTGGCCACTCTCTAGGGTCCCTTGGTGGTTAACGACTGCAAACAAGGAGTATCTGGTTGGGGAGGAAACGAGTTGGGAGAGACCAGTGGTTAACTCAATTTTATTGTCGCCAGAAACCACACAGCCCAAGTAGTCAGAGACCTGTGCAGTGAGGGGCCTCCATGACCCGAAACATCAATGCTGGAGCCCAAGGGCATGGAGGGACAGAGGGAGCCTGTGTGGCCTCCAGTCTGTAGCGCAACTGGTGTGGGAAATACTGTAACCCCTGTCCCCTTCATCCCATTGGCTGGCTACACCAGTGGTGGAAAGGCAGGCAGAGAAAGAGCAGAGGCCTCAACATGGTGCCAGCCAAAGAAGAGGTCACAGGGCCCACAATTCAGATGCCGAACTTTTGCTCCAGACCTGCAACAGCCAGACTGACCCTCACTCACACCCAGAGACCAGGAGAAGGGCATCAAGCTCCTACATAGGAGGGAGCATTTATGGTAAAGGTGTGAAAAGTCCTTTCCTAATAAATGGGCTCAGGTATTTTCAAAAGAGATTGATGGGCAGTATGACAGGGAGCAGGCCAGTGACCAAAAGAAGCAGCCCTGCCACCGCCACTCAGAAACACAGCAATCTCCCTGTGAAATGCTGGGGCCCCCCCCACCCTGACCACCCCCTGGGAGCCCAGGGCTCTCCCCACTAGGCGCCGCGATGTCAGCACACCCATACAAGGCAGCACTTACTTGTTGTCATTACTGAGGCTATCTGCTGGCTGCTGATACTGCCCGTTCATCCTGCTCTCTTTGCTGTAACAAACAACAGCGACACTCAGAGCCCTTTAAACCAACCAAAGCAGCAACAGTGAACCTTTCTCATTTCATAGCACATATAAACTAATTACTAAAGTTCTGTGGTTCACCAAAAAATATATTCTATTTTTTGACCATCTGAAAAAACAAAAGAGAACAAAACAGGTATAATTTTGATTCATTCACACTGGACAGCTATTGTTGTATTGGATATTGTTGTTTTCTTATTTGACTATCTAAGGGAAAAGAGGTCTGTGCTCCTGACTAAGCAGTCAGGTTTTACAAATTTTTGTGGTGTGCTGGTATGCTGCAGTGTACGGGGTAAAAATCAGTGAAATGAAGAGAAGCCCCCAGTGTTAGTGGGGGCTTACTATGCCAGGCACTGTGTTGAATTCACTTTTTATACACTTGCTAGGCTAGTTCTTCCAACAACACTCCTTTCTAGGCAGAGATTATTCCCCTGTTAAGGTGAAGAAACCAAGGCCCAGGCTGAGCGCACACCTGCCATTAGGTATGGGGCCAGCCCACGTGTGTGTGGTGGCGCACCTCCCAGCAAGGAATGAAATCTTCCCTGGGCCCTTCCAAGGAAGCATAGACCTGCCAACACCTTCTTGCTTTGAGCCACCAACTTTGTGGTAATTTGTTATAGTGGCCCTTGGAAACTAACAACCTGTGGCCTGAATATTATTAGTTAACTGTTGCCTTTTTTTAGGGTAAATTTTAAGTAGTCTATGGTATGAAGATCCGAAAACAAGATAAATGTAATCTACCAATGCAAAGTCAACTATTTTCACCACATTCTACAACCAGATGCAACAGCTAAAATAGTGCCTTTCTGCATGGACTCCACCTTGATTTCTCAAGTCCGGGAGCTGATGAAGGGCTGCCTGGAAAAACTCACAGCTGAGACAGGACATCTGAGGAGAAAGAACTCATTAAGCTGAAACGTGTCCTGGGTGAAGATCAGGATAGTAATTTGGTTTTAGCAATTTTGGTTCTATCAGTGTCTGCAATCATCTCATCAGGGAGCTGGTACACATAACAGAACTCACAAAGCCATACTACCCTCCCGATGCCAGATGCAGATGAACAAACCTTCCATACCTGGATGCCATGAAAGGGGTCATGTCCAGTACCAGGGGAAAGGACACATATGTGGTAATCTTCCGCCGCAGTTTGGCCGAGTGTTCAAATCGCTACAGAAATGGGGGAGAGAAGAGTAACACTGCTGTAACAAACTTCCTCCAGGGGTGCTTCTCTGTGCAGTTCCCAAATCATGCTTTTCATTAATGATGACTGCCTGCTGGCCATATCTGGAGCTTACAGAGCCAATAACACAATATTGATATAAATCTAACTTACAGGGTTCAAGTAAAGTCTTGAAGTGACTGTTCAAAGTGATGAACACCCAGCGTACAAAAAAATAATCTGATAAACTCAGTGAAATGCAAGGTAGTAGAAAACAGAGGCAATATCTGTAACCTCTGGGAGCAAAAACAAATATATTGTTCCTTTCACAAAACAAGAGGCAGTCCCTTGACTACATCAGAAGCTACCAAATCCACACAGGAAGCTAAGAACAGTTCCTTGTTTTAACATATTTGGACTCAAAGAAAAATATGAAACAGATTGTATAGCTGCAAACCTGAAAATACTTACTATCTGACCCCTGGACTAGGTCATAATGCTAAGAGCCTTTGTTTGCTTTTAAGTAAAAGAAAAACAGAAAACTTGGAGTGAGGATGAAGAACTTAGGTAGGAGTAGTAAAACCGTTCACAGCCCCACGCCCAGCGGAGCAGCTCATACCCTATCTTCATTCTGCAGTGAAGACTTTCTGGCTACTTCCAGCCAAGATGGAGGCTGAGGTGGAAACACTGTGCCTCCTAGCACAACCAAGTTTAAAGACAACAAAGTTTTAGTAACAAAAACGCAGCCGAAACACAGAAAATTGAACTGTACAGAAGTCTGACAACAAACCACTCAGCCAGACTGGTAAGAGGGGCAGAGTCAGCTGCGGAACAGGGTCAGGCAGGAAAGATCTGCTGGACCAACCCAGGAGTGCAACCGGTGGTTGGCGGATCCCAGGTGTGGGATGGCAATGGGCGGATCCAGTGGGGGAGCAACGCAACTGGCTGACCGCAGTCACACATTTGCGTGCAGATAAACCAAGCGAAGGAGCGAACAGTGAGACAGACCGCTCAGGCTAGGGCCCCAGCCAACGGGAATTAGAGCCTGAAAGCACCAACTGGAAAGACTTTCAGGATTGAGGTGCTGGGAGAGGATCTCAGGCTCACAGAGTTTGCTGGAGAGACCCACAGGGTCCTGGAGGGTACACAAGCCCACACACCTGGGAACCAGCAGCAGAAGGGCCCAATCTGCCTGTGGGAAGCGGCAGAGGGGACAGAAATCTGAGAGAGAACAAACACCACTGCCCCTCTCTGACCCCGCCCCCACATACAACTGGGTCACCCCACCCTGGTGAACATCTAAGGCTCCACCCCTCATACGTAACAGGTGCAAACAAACCAAAACATTATGGCTCAAAAACAGCTCAAAGCCCAGAGCCAATAATTCTAAGCGACCAGGAAGTAGCCAACCTTTCAGATGCACAGTTCAAAACACTGATCAGGATGCTTGCAGAACTGGTTGATTTTAGTCACAAATTAGAGGAACAAATGAAGGCTAAACTAATTGAAATGAAGGGAAATGCACAGGAAACCAATGGTGATGGAAAGGAAACTGGGACTCAAATCAATGGAGTGGACCAGAAGCAAGAAAAAAATGACTAAACAGAAAAGAATAAAGAAATAAGAACTCAAAAAAATGAGGAGAGGCTTAGGAACCTCCAGGACATCTTTAAACGTCCCAGCATCTAAATTATAGGGGTTCCAGAGGGGAAGAGGAAGAGCAACAAGTGGAAAACTTATTTGAACAAATAATAGGGGAGAACTTCCCCAATCTGACAAAGGAAATAGACTTCCAGGAAATACAGGAAGCTCAGAGAGTCCCAAAGAAGTTGGACCCAAGAAGGAACACACCAAGGCACATCATCATTACATTAGCCAAGATGAAAATGAAGGAGAGAATCCTAGAAGCAGCAAGAGATAAGGGGACAGTCACCTACAAAGGAGTTCCCATCAGACTGTCAGCTGATTTCTCAAATGAGACCTTACAGGCAAGAAGGGACTGGAAAAAAGTATTCCAAGTCATGAAAGGCAAGGACCTACCTCCAAGATTGCTCTATTCAGCAAAGCTTTCATTTAGAATGGAAGGACAGATAAAGTGCTTCTCAGATAAGGTCAAGTTCAAGGAGTTCATCATCAACAAGCCCTTATTATATGAAGTGTTAAAGGGACTTCCCTGAGAAAAAGAAGATAAAAAATATGCACAACGAAAGGACAGCAAACTCACAGTTATTAACAACTATGCCTAAAACAAAAGCAAACTAAGAGGACAGCTAGATCAGGAGCAGAACCATAGAAATGAAGATCACATGGAGGGTTAGCAACAGGGGAGTGGGAGGAGGAGAAGGTGGGAGAAGGTACAGAGAATAAGTAGCATAGACAGTGGGGAGAAAACAGACAGAGGGAGGGCAAGAGTAGTGTGAGAAATATAGAATCTAAAGAACTTGTGACATATGAATATAAATGAAAGGGGGGAAATGGTGGGGGAGGGGTGTACAGGGTGGAGGGGAAAGGACAACTGTAATGGTATAATCAATTAAATATATTTAAAAAAGAAAAAGACTTTCTGTTCATCACAAAGGACTTCTTTTTTTTCTTGTGTAGAGTTGTTTTTTAAAATATATTTGATTAATTATGACATTACAGTTATTCTCTTTCCCCCCTTCATTTCCCTCCACCCTGCACACCCCTGCCTCACCATTCCCCCCTTAAGTTTATGTCCATGTGCCTCAAGTTCTTTAGATTCTGTATTTTCCCTACTATTCTTATCCTCCCCTATCTATTTTCTATCTACTGTTTATGCTACTTATTTTCTGTACCTTCTCCCCCCTTCTCCTTCTCCCACTCCCCTGTTGCTAACCCTCCATGTGATCTTCATTTCTATGGTTCTGCTCCTAATTTAGCTGTCCTGTTAGATTGCTTTTGTTTTAGGTGTGGTTGTTAATAACTGTGAGTTTGCTGTCCTTTCACTGTTCATATTTTTTATCTTCTTTTTCTTAGGAAAGTCCCTTTAACATTTCGTATAGTAAGGGCTTGTTGATGATGAACTCCTTGAACTTGACCTTATCCAGAAGTACTTTATCTGTCCTTCCATTATAAATGAAAGCTTTGCTATATAGAGCAATCTTGGATGCAGGTCCTTGCCTTTCATGACTTGGAATACTTCTTTCCAGCCCCTTCTTGCCTGCAAGGTCTCTTTTGAGAAATCAGCTGACAGTCTGATGGGAACTCCTTTGTTGGTGACTACCCCCTTATCTCTTGCTGCTCCTAGAATTCTCTCCTTCATTTGAATCTTGGCTAATGTAATGATGATGTGCCTTGGTGTGTTCCTTCTTGGGTCCAACTTCTTTGGGAAGCTCTCTGAGCTTCCTGGATTTTTTGGAAGTCTATTTCCTTTGCCAGATTGGGGAAGTTCTCCTTTATTATTTGTTCAAATAAGTTTTGCACTCGTGGCTGTTCCTCTTCCCCTTCTTGTACCCTATAATTCGGATGTTAGAATGTTTAAAAATGTACTGAAGGTTCCTAAGCCTCTCCTGATTTTTTTGAATTCTTGTTTCTTCATCCTTTTCTGTTTGGTCATTTTTTCCCTCCTTCTGGTCCACTCCTTTGATTTGAGTCCCAGTTTCCTTTCCATTACTATTGGCTTCCTGTGTATTTCCCTTCATTTCAATTAGTTGAGCCGTCATTTGTTCCTCTAATTTGTGACTAAAATCAACCAGTTCTGTGAACATCCCGATCACCAGTGTTTTGAACTGTGCATCTGAAAGGTTGGCTATCTCTTGGTGGCTTAGATTTATTGGCTCTGGGAATATGAGTTGTTCTTGAGTCATGTTTTGACCTGTTCATGCCTGTTATGTATGAGGGGTGGAACCTTAGTTGTTCACCAGGGCAGGGCCACCCAGGTCACTGGTTTGTGACCCTGTATGTGTGGGCGGGGTCAGAGAGGGACAATGGCAGTTCCACGTGCTGCTTCCTGCCACTGGGACCTGCGCGGTCTGTCTCACTGCTAGCTGCTTCACTGGTTTATCTGTGAGCGAATACGTGACTGCGATCAGCCCTCAGTGGGTCCGCCTGCTTCTCCACACTTGGGATCCACCCACAGCTGCCGGTGCACCTGGGTCGCACGCCCAGGTCGGTTCGGTGGATCTTTCCTGCCTGACCCAGCTCTGCTTCTGGCTCTGCCCCTCTTACCAGTTTGGCTGAAGGGTTCATTGTTATCAGACTTCCGTGTAGTTAAATTTTCTTTGATTTGGCTGCGTTTTTGATGCTAAAACTTTGTTGTTTTTAAACTTGGTTGTGCGAGAAGGCGCGGTGCTTCCATCTATGCCTCCATCTTGGCGGAAGTCCTCCATCACGGAGGACTTCTGATGGCAAGGGGAGACAGGGGAAGGTACAATGTAACTATCCCAGTTCTTTAGCACATGTAGGGAGTCGCTGTAATTATGAAATGAGCTCTGCACACCACACTGACTGACTCTTAGCTGTACCATGAACTGAAAATTGAGTTGGCTGCTGGAACTTTCCTGGAAAACTTACTTTGAGATGGAAGCAGGCGACAATGGGCAGTTTCTTCATGGTGAGCTGCTTGGTGGACTCCTGGTAGCTGTGACAGCCACTGCATTTGATCTTGGCACTGCTTCCCAAGTGCTCTGGTCTAGTGAATCTGCAAGGCATTTAAGAATGTATTTTTAAGAAAAAATATGAAGAGGCAAGAGGGAAAACAGCTACATTATCACTTTCAATGGATTAATTTCCCTACTAAAAACATATATATTGTATGTCTGTCACCTTCCTCCCTTACCACTTTAAAAAATACTTACCTAACAGCTGAATGGATAAAAAAAAAAGAGAAGTCCAACATACATGCTATCTATAAGAGACCCACCTCAGAACAAGAAACATATTGATTAAAAATATAGGAATGGAAAATGTATTTCATGCAAATAGAAATAAAAAAAATAACTGGGGTAGCAGTACTTATATCTGACAAAATAGATTTTAAAACAAAGGCAGGTAACAAGAGTCAAAGAAGGACACTACATAATGATACAGGGAGCAATCCAACAAGAGGATGTAACCCTAGTAAACATTTATGCACCCAACACAAGAATACCTACATATATAAAGCAAATCTTAGAAGATTTAAAAAAAAATAAAGAGAGACGGACAGTAACACAGTCACAGCAGGGGACTTTAACACTGTACTGACATCACTGGATAGATCTTTCAAACAAAAATCAACATGGAAACAGTGGCCTTAATGACAAACCAGACCAGATGGATTTAATTAACATTTTCAGAGCATATCACCCCAACACAGCAGAATACACATTTTTTCAAGTGCAAATGGAGTATTTTCTAGGAGAGACCACATGTTAGGACACAAAACAAGTCTCAATGAATTTAAAATGACTGATATCACATGAAGCATCTTCTCTGACTAAAATGGTATGTAACTAGAAATCAATCACAAGAAAAAAACCCACAAAAATATAGAGGTTAAATAACATGTTACTAAATAATAACTGGGTTAACAGTGAGGTCAAGGAAGAAATCAAAGATACCTCGAAACAAATGAAAATGAGAACATAACCACCCCAAATCTATGGGACACAGTGAAAGCAGTCCTAAGAGGGAAATTCATAGCATTACAGGCCTACCTCATGAAACACAAAAAAGCTCAAATAAATAACCCAACCCTACAATTAAAGGTACTAGGGGGGGAAAAGCCCACAGTGAGCATAAGAAAGGAAATAATAAAGATTAGAGCAAAAAAAAAGTCTAAAAAAAAAACCCCAAAACATCAAGAAACCAAGAGCTGTTTCATTTGAAAAGATAGCCAAGATTGACACACCTTTAACCAGTCTCTTCAAGAAAAAGAGAGGACTTAAATCAATAATAAAATCAGAAATGAAAGAGAAGTAATAACTGACAGCAAAGAAATACAAAGAATTATAAGACAGTATTATGAACAACTATATGCCAACAAGTTAGACAATCTAGACGTAATAGATAAATTCCTAAAAACGTACTATTTTCCCATACTGAATCAGGAAGAATCAGAAAATCTGACTAGACTGATTACAACTAATGAAATTGAAGCAGTAATTAAAAAACTCCCAACAAACCTAAGTCCTGGACCAGTACCTTCACAGGTGAATTTAACAAAATTTCACAGAAGAACACCTCTCCTTCTCAAACTATTCCAAAAATACCAAGAGGAAAGACTTCCAAGCTTATTTTACAAGACCAGCATTATCCTAATTCCAAAACTAGATAAAGATAACTGCAAAGAAAGAAAATTATAAGGCCAATATCCCTGATATGCTAAAATCTTCCACAAAATATAGCAAACCAGATCCTGCAATACATTAAAAAAGTCATACACCACGATCACGATCAAGTGGGATTTACTCCAGGAATGCAAGGTCGTTACAATATCCACAAATCAATAAACATGATATATACCACATAAACAAAATGAAGGATAAAAATCACATGAATGCATCAATAGATGCAGAAAAAGCATGTGATCAAATTCAGCACACATTTATGATAAAAATTCTCAGCAAAGTGAAAACAGAGGAAACATACCTCAACATAATAAAGGCCATATATGACAAACCTATAGCCAACATCATACTTAACAGGCAAAAACTAAAAGTGTGTCCCTTAAGATCAGGAACAAGACAAGGATGTCTGCTTTCACCACTCCTATTCAGTAAAGCACTGGAAGTCCTAGCCACAGCAGTCAAGCAAGGAAAAAATTAAATAAGATTCCACCAAAAAGCTACTAGAAATGATAAAAACAAAAAAACCTTGAGAAATAAATTTAACCAAGGATGTGAAAGATCTAAACTCAGAAAATTATAAGGCAGTGAAGAAAGAAACTGAAGAAGATACAAATAAGTTGAAGCATATACTGTGTTCATGAATAAGAATTAACATCACTGAAATGTCTATAGTACCCAAAGCACTCTATAGATTCAATGCAATTCCTATTAAGATACCAATGGCATATTCCACAGATCTAGAATAATTCCAAAAATTTATCTGGAACCACTAAAGACCCTGAAAAGCCTCAGCAATTTTGAGAAAGAAGAACAAAGTTGGAGGGATCACAATACCTGATACCACACTATAAGGCCACAGTAAATAAAACAGCATAGCCTAGATCAATGGAACAGAATAGAGAGCTCAGAGATAAACCCACACCTTTAAGTCAATTAATATTTGACAAAGGAGGCAAGAGCATACAATGGAGTAGAGAGAGTCTCTTCAATAAATGGTGTAGAAAAATTGAACAGATATATGCAAAAAAAAAAAAAAGAAACTAGATCACCTTCTTACACCATACACAAAAATAAACTCAAAATGAATTAAACTCAATCCACTGTTAAGACTAAAAACCACTAAAATCCTAGAAGAAAACACAGAAAGTAAAATCTCAGACATTTCTCAGCAGTATTTTTCTAATATACTTCTTCAGGCAAGGCAAACAAAAGAAAAAAAATAAACAAATGGGATTCTATCAAACTAAAAATTTTTTTCACAACAAAGAAAATCATCAACAAAATGAAAAGACAACCCACTGAATGGGAGAACATGTTCACCATTGATACTTCTTGTAAGGGGTTAATACCCAAAACTTACATAGAACTTACACAACTCAACACCAAAAGCAAAATAAAACAAAACAAAAACAGTCTAATTAATTAAACAATAGACAGAGGACCTGAACAGACACTTCTCCAAAGATATACTTATGGCACATAGACATGAAAAAATGCTCAGCGTCACTAATCATCTAAGAAACACAATTAAAACCACAATGAGATAATCACCCCTCACTGTCAGATAGCCATCATTAATAGATCAATAAACAACAAGTATTAGTAAGGATGTGGAGAAAGGGGAACCCTTTTGGGCTGTTGGGAATGCAGACTGGTGCAGCCACTGTGGAAAACAGTATGGAATTTCTTCAAAAAACTGAAGATGGAACTATATTATGACCCAGCGATTCCACTTCTGGGGATATATACAAAGAAACCCAAAACCTAACTTGAAAGAATATATGCACCTCTATCTTCACTGCAGCATCATTTACAATAGCCAAGATTTGGAAGAAGCCCAAGTGCCTGCCCATCAGTGGATGAGTGGAGACTAAAGCTGTGGTACACTTACCCAGGGGAATGCTATTTGGGCGCAACAAAGAAGGAACTCTTACTATTTGTGAAAGCATGGATGGACCTAGAGGGCATTGTGCTGAATGAAATAAGCTGGTCAGAGAAGGACGAGTACATTATGATCTCACTCATGTGGAATCTAATGCACAAAACAAACTGAAACACAAAACAGAAACAGAAGCATAGATACACAGAACAGACTGGCGGTTACCAGCGGGGAGAGGAATTGGCGAGCTGCATGAAAAAGGTGAAGGGATTAAGCAAAGGGAAAAAAATTCACAGACGCAAACAACAGTATGGTGATGACCAGAGGGAAGGGGGTGAGGCTAGGTAAAAAGGCTAAAGTGAGGATAAAGGGTGATGGAGGGAGACTTGACTAGGGTTGGTGAACACAAAATACAATATACAGACAATGTAATATAGAATTGCATGACTGAAAGCTATACAAGTTTATTAACCAATGTGGCCAAAAAAATTTCAATGAAAAATAAAATGAAAAGTAAAAAATACTTTTGAGTTTTTTAAAACAAAAAGTTTGGTGAAAATAATTTTATTATTATCATAAGACTCAGCCTATTAAATCTGTCCCCCCAAAATGGATACTTGTGTTCCCATACAAACTGTACAGAAATTATCCAAAAAAAGAAAAACAAAAAAGAACAAAAACACAGAAAACAACTGGAAGCAAGGCAGATGTCTTTCAACGGGTGAACATTAAACAGTTAAACAAACTGTGGTACATGGCACCCTGGAATACTAGTCAGCAATAAAAAGAACAAACTGTTGATACACACGACCTGAATGAATCACCAGCAAACCATGATGAGCGAACAAGTGAATCCCCAAAGATTTCATGTTGTACCATTAACACAACATTCCTGAAACGTGGACTTCACAGGGCGCACAGATGCAAGGCTGCCAGGGCCTGAGGAGGCAGCAGTGGTGGGAGGCAGGTGGTGTGGCTGGGAGGGTCCTGGGAGAAGGACACAGGGGATCTCAACGTAGCATCTCTTACAACTGCAGAAGGAAGCTACAATTATCTCAAAATAAAAAGCTTAATTTGAAAAAGTGAGATGTGGGGAAATGTGAAATATTTTTTGCTTTTCTTGTGATGGAGATCGATGATGAGACGGAAAGGTTACAGTGATATACCAGCCAACACCTGTGGCACAAGTGATGCAGTAGCTACTGAAGATGAGAAACCATGAACAGATGCTTTGGTATAGTTTATAACAAGTTTTCAAAGTTTAAAGCTAAAAAACAAACAAAAAAGTTGATCTTTTGGCAGCTGGGTCTGCTTGTTTAACCTTTCTGCCATCTCAGCCTGGGTAGGACAGTGCCCCTGAGCAAGTGCCCAGAGCAAGCTGCTGCAAAGTACCCAGAAGAGGAAGTATGAGAACAGTCACATCTTGTGGTGAGGGAGCATGGAGCACAGCCTCCAGCCATGTTCACTGCACACAGCAGGAACTAGCCCACA